TAAATCTATTTTCAAGAATTAAATCCTGGACAACAATGTGAAAACACAAAAACTATACTGTATAGTGCTAGCAATGGATTCAAGTAATATTCTGTGTTAAAACCAGGAAATATACTGAAGTAACATTTCAGTTTAACAAACATGGTGCTTTACGGTTATTCCCTACAAACAAGATGCATTTACTTTGAAGTATAAATTGTTTCATAACAGATTTTAGGGCCAGTTATGGAAAATCAAATTTATAGTACATTGTAAAGGAGAGAATGAGGTATTCAAACAAGTTTTTTGATAGGGTAAAAAAGCCAGTTTATACCTCATGAAATGCCATCAAACTGTAGAAGACACAACAACAAATATAAATATTTGATAAGGCAAAAAGGAACTTTAGCATGGTCATTAACCTATAAAAGTACATTCAGTAAAATAAACAACATAAAACTAACTCCTAACAACAAAAACTATTGGCAGCCATTTGTGGATGAGGCTTATACATAATGTAGCATAATTTTGCTATGTTCAGAGAAATAAATTTATCTTGATCATTTACAGGTAGTGCAAATAAAAATAATCAGATATGCAAGATAGATTGCAGAGAGGGAAGATGAAAAACGGCTAAACAAAAACATCTTGTTATCAAAGAGCCCTGGTAAATTTCTATTTTTGTTTTATTTTATCAGATTAATCCCCTTTTAATTACCAGTCCCTAAGCATAATTGTATAACGACTAATCTTCAAACAATAGGATGACAACTGTTTATATTCTACTGCCAAGAGAAGATTACAACAGGGAAGATTATAACACTGGAAAGTGGATGACATGACAAAGAATGAATTCTGGCATGCTCAAACCCAAAAATAGATGACCTGGTGCAATTTAAAAAGGTGCCTTTTGAAAATGAAATAAATGACCGCACCTCTGAGAACGCTTCTCCTTCACTGCTCCAGTGAAGATCTAGGCACAGAAGGCTGAGAAGGAGAGGATACATCTTTTTGAAAGTATCTCTCCAAGTTTCTTCCACAACTTTTCTTAAAACTAGACCATGCAGTTAAATAATGCCACAGTATATTGGGTTTAGCTAGAAGAAAACCCAATCATTACAACCCGAGCAACTGAAGGAATAATTCTGTGATA